TCAGGGTGCAGTGTAGCAACGATGAAATATACAATTTTCCTTTTTTCTTGAATGCTTCCTCCCCCCGCATTCCACTCTCATGATCCCAATTCTAGCTGACAAATCTGGGTGGACCGGAGGATGTACACTGACACAGATAGGAACTGGAAACACAGTGAATTCAGGACAGATAGCCCCCCTCAGGACCAGTGGAGAGAGTGGCGATATCGGGAGGGTGGAGGGAAGGTGAGGGAGAAAGGGGGAACAGATGACAAAGTCTACATATAACCTCCTCCCTGGGGGATGGACAGTGGAGAAGTGGGTGAGGGAGATGTTGGATGGTGTGAGATATGACAAAATAATAATTTACAAATTATCAAGGGTTCAGTGGGGAGGGGGCACCGGGGAGGGAGGGGAAAAAATGAGGAGCTGATACCAAGGCCTCAAGTAGAAAGCAGGTGTTTTGAGAATGATGATGGCAACATATGTACCAATGTGCTTGACAAAATTGATGTATGTATGGATTGTGATAAGAGTTGTATGAGCCCCTAATAAAATGATTAAGAAATAAATAAAAATAAAGTCTTAGGTACTATATCTAGGAATCCACATGGATTGCATTACTTGGGCTATTTATAGAATGATAATAATTCTAATTTTAAGAGCCATCTTACAAATCCTGGCCCCAAATACGGTTCACCATGACATTTCGGGGAGCTGAAGGAAAGGAAAAGCCATTGCAAAGGGATGTATAAAAGATGGGGAAACGTAGTCTAAATCTCCTTTGGAAAAAAAAAATGCAGTTGACTTACTACATGCTGAACGAACATGTTACTACTAAAACGAAAAGGCCACTGCCATGGTGTGGCTTCCGACTTCGCGAGAGCCTGTTTCGGGTTTCCAAGGCTGTGCTCTTTCCAGGAGCACCTGGCCTCCTCGGCTTTCTCCCGAGGCGCAAGTGAGTTTGAACATGGTTCGACGCTTACCTGACAGCGCCACCTATGGATCACAAACAGTAAATAGTCTGAGAAGTAGAAATTTTAGGCAAAGGGTTATGGAAATTATTAGATTGGTTCACTTGAAAAACAAATTCAATAGTTCTGATTTGTTTATGTAATTGTAGGCTGGTTTTATCTGTGAAAACCAAATACAACATTAAGCTTTAATATGTAACCAACAGAGTACTTATTATACTAAAAGATGCCTTTAAAATTTTTTTTATTAATTAACATAACTCGGCTTACAGAAATGTACTCATGACGGTTAATAGAATGCAATTTACGTTTAATGTCTCCTATACGATTTGGACCAAAAACTTGTCACATGCAATCTGGTTTATTTTTTCATCGGTCACAAATACCAATGTTTAAGATGATCCCCCCTCAAATGCTACTAAAGCAGGTAGCAAGAATCAGAAAAAAATTTACCTTTGGTTGGCTTCAGAAAAACACATACTGCCCTCTACACATTTTTTTAAATTGGCAGTGTCCGTGCCAGCTTACAAAAGCTAAATTACTAATGAAGGTGGGCTTGGAGAGCCTGTCCACCTACACGACAGCTGTAACAGCTCTCTGATTTTGTTCATAGTACATGTAGACTGTAAATCTATACCAACCACGGTGCAGGTCACTCCTTGCCTCTGAATTAACACTATCATCTCTGCTCACCTGCTAAGGTCAACTAGGAAATTCAGCGTACTGGCTGGAAATGTTTCTGATTTATACATAAAAGA